TCCAAAGGAAGGGGCTAAAATAAACAGTGATTTAAGGGTCGGGGCAGAAAACGTTCCAAAGCAGATTTTTACTTCGATCCTCAGAAGACTGGCCCCCATTATATAAAATCTTGTCTGGGAGACTTCTCAGTCTTGCTTAGTGATTACAACTTAAATCCTATGGTGTATGAAAACAGGTTTTCCTCAGTTTAGAGTTCAGAATAAATAATCACGTCGATAGCACACACCTTCTAAAAACTGAAGTTAGTTGATAATGTTATGTAAGTTTCAAGTGTATAACATTATCTCTACCTCTGTGTACCCCACAGCATATAACGCTTTATTTCGCGGCTATTAAAAGTCAAAGAAGACAATTTCAAATAAAATGGGTTAGATTCTTTTTTTTTTAAGAAATAGAAAACGGAGAAATTAGATTTTGATTCATAAAAATTATTATCCTGGTTCTACTGGAGGAAGGAACAAGCATGTATATGCACTGGCTTCCCCATGCTATGCGCCTTCCTCCATCTGACTCTTCTGAGTTTTCATGGGACAACCAGATTACTTTTCCAAATCCCATCTCAAAAAAAAAATTAAAAACAAAAAAAACCATGCAAGCCTGGCTGATCTCACTCCAGAGGAGTTCATTCTGCTTGAGACCCTTTTTCTTGGGGCGCTGACTTCTCTGCAGAGAAGCATTCTGTTGCTGTTTTCTGTAGAGTGATGAACATGTCCTTCAGCACTGCCAGGTACTGGGTGTGTGTGCTCGGTCCGCCGCATTCACAGTAAGAGGCACCGTGAGATTCTCGGAGACAGTGTTTTTCAAAATTGCTTTATCATAGGAATCATCAAGATCTTTGTAAAAATACAGGTTCCCAGGTCCCCAAACATTACTGGTAGGAATGGAACATGGTACAACCACCCTGCAAAATAATCTGGCAGTTTCTTCAATTCTACATGGATGCTACATACATATGTACATTCGTGCTACATAGGGGTGAACCTTGAAATCATTATGCTAAATGAACAGAGCCAGTCATAAAAGAGCTACACTGTAAGATTTCATTTATATGAAAAAACTAGAATGGGCAAATCCATCAAAACAAAAAGTAGATTGGTGGTTGGCAGGAGCTTGTGGGAGGGGGAATGGGGAGTGACTGCTTAATGGGCCTGGGGTTTCCTTTTGGAGAGATGAAAAAGTTCTGGCCTTAGGGATGATGGTCACACAAATCTGAATATACTAAAAGCCACTGAATTGTAAACTTCAAAAAGATAGATTTTACGGTACATGAATAATATCTGAATAATACTGTTATTTAAAATATGTATCTGGGTTCACAGGCCCCACCCTAAGTGTATTGAACTGGACTAGACTTGGAAACCTAACTAAAAAAATATTTATCTTTGAATAGGTAATAGAAGCACATGATTCAAAAATTCCAAAGGTAACACTCCTTCTCACGCTGGTCCCTGGCCATCCAGTTTCCCTTTCCAGAGGCAAAGAGTATTATCTGCTGTTTGGGTCTGCTCCTAAGTATAGAGAAGCAAATATACTTTCCCTTTATTTTTTCTTCCTTTCTTTTTATACAGAGTTAATATATAGCAGACACCATTTTGCAACTCTTCCCCCAGCACTGTACAACATGTCTTGGAGATAAACCCATCACAGCACATAAAGTACATCTTTATTCTTTTTATAGCTACAAAGTGGAAATTGGTCAATTTTCTATTTTTCTTCCTTTTTTTTTAAAGCAGTAAAATGCACGTAACATAAAATCTTAATATTTTGATTCATTTTTTAAAAACAAGCTTCTCCAGTGAATTCTGTATTTCAACAAGTTTGAAAAAAAAATGTTCTAAATCCTTCAGCTAAATGCAGAATATGACTTTCCAACAGCAAATAGTGCATCATGAAAGGTTTAATCTGGAGACATTCAGCCAGAAGCAAATAGAAGCAGTCTGACATTTCACATACACAGCCAGTTAGAGCCAGGAAGGCTTGTTAGATAATCATCATGGAACTTTTGATCATTTTCTGAGATTTCAGGCTTTCCTGTTTCCTAATCTGGGCAGTTTCAAACGGTCTGCAGAACACCAAAGGAGAATGATATTCCAGAAACCTCCATAAGGACATTGGAGAAATGAAACATATTCAAAACACAAAGCCACTAAACTACAAAGTGGTCACCAAAATATATGTCACTAGCAAACCCTGGAAGAAGCTGAAAATAAGGGCTCGGGTGAAGGTACTAAGTCAACTAGGTATGTTTGGATTATCCCTGCGGCCCAGCTACTGTAAATAACTGGGCCAGCTGTTGTCCTTGGATGAAGGTATTTTTGTATCAGCTCAGTTCGACCGGAGAAAACAACCCAACCACAAGGAACTAGTTAATTACCATCCAGCCAAGATTTACTGATAAGCAAAGAAAGCAAATGGAAAAACACTGGGGAAGACACAATCTCATTTCTTAGGTGGTGGGGGGGGACTGCGTGTGTATATATACGGAAATAAATGGATGGGGAGGGAGGAAGGGCAGAGGAGACAGGCAGAGAGCATATGAGAGTGAATGAATATTTTTTAATGGATAATACATAGAAGAAAAAAAAAAACAAGATATCCAAACTGTGAACAGTGGGTATTTTTTAGAGGCGAGGAGACAGATTACTGGTGACTCTTATTTGGGTGCTTTTTACTTTTTTTAGATTTACACTTCTGTATTGTTGAAATTTTTTTCAAATGAGCATGAAATACTGAAATAAAAATCACTAAGATTGAAAATAAAGTACAGGTTGGCCATTTTTCAACAGGATACAGGACAGTCTCCTCAAACACACTCCATACGTGATAAAATAAACTCAGATTTAAATGTGACCTCTGAGAATATGGTCATCCTTCTGTGTCCCTGGCACTGTCAATAAGGAATATGATTTGTACATGAATCATAAGAGACAGGCAAGAAGTGGTAATCCGGACCACCTTCAGAGATGGCGTTTTATTTTCCAAATAATGCGTTGGGTCAGTGCTAACGGAAATCTTTACTGAAAATCTTTACTACTTGTCAGAGTCATAAACTCCCAGGCTAAAGAAATCCACTCCACTCCATTCCCGGACCTTCAGCCATCATATGCCCTCCTGCACAACTCAGATGGACAGCTGTCCCTGTCTAGGGAACTCTAGGAAAGGAAACATCACAATTTCCTAATGCACGTAACAAAATGTCACAAGGGCTTGAAAGACTCCTGCCCTTTAAATACACCTTATTAAACAGGGTTCAGGCTACAAGAACTATTCACTCTCTCTCAAGTTCTATCAACCCCACTGCTTAAACATTTTCAGTTTTCAACATTTTC